TTAACAGTTTCCTCTCATGAACCCAAGTAGACTGGTGGGTTCGTCCTCTCTCCCTGCTTGCTGAAGCCTTCCCTTCATCCAGGGCAAGTTCTCTTCCTTGCACCAGCATTTTAGCTTCTGTGAATATTTCGTGTCATAGCAACCAGACACAACCAATGTGCCTCAGCTGATAAAACGCTGTGGCTCTCAAGCGCTCCCAGCTCGGCGTTTCCTGAGGAGCACTTGGTGTTTTCAGCTGGAAAAGAAACACTTTTGTGGACATGGGGCCATTATTTCAATACTTTCAATACAAATAAGTTCATATAAAGGTGAGCTAAACTTATTGCAAACCTACCAACTGGACTGAATTCACATGGCATTTTTTTTTGGAGTGTGAATTCATATCAAGCTTGTTAACACCAGTCATAACCTGAGAGGGCTTTCATTACAGCGATTACAACCAAAAATCATCTGTAACAAAACTGATCATAACAGCAGTATGCAAAACATTCTCAAGAGTATTGTGAGCCTTGTAAAACCAACACAGCTGCTCCGACTAAAATGTTTTTCTTTAAAGAAATATACATACAAAAAGTAAAAAAAAAAAAAAAACATGATAAATACATCGTTAACTTGCTCCAGGGGTGTATTTACAATGTGGCATTAAGACTGTGCATTTCAATACACTCTGATGCACTAAAAAACAGTTACAAGCCTATGAACATAGATTATCTTATTTATTACAACATAATCATAAGGTATATATCAGAAAATGACATCAGAGTCGCATCACGTCACCTTTACAGAAACCCAATAAAGAACTCAACCCCATAATTGTTTGCACTCTTGTATATCAGTGCTCAGATGGCAATAAGCATACAATCACTTGGTGCTTATGTGTTTACGATCCTGTGTGTCTTTTATGAGCCAAATGTTGGCAGTTGGACACCATCTTTAACCAATCCCATTGCTTGGTTCAACCCTCCTGTTATCTGTGAAGGATATTTCAGATTCTTTAGCTGCAAACTTCTTCAACTAATTTAGGTAATTAAAGTCACCCTGATAATTTACCTTCATATTAAATTTAGACGTCTGTATTGTCCTCTTTGTAGCGAGGTTTCAGTTGAAGCAGTTTACCATTCCTAGGATTTTTTGGCTTGTGTATGAGTTCATGACAGAGTCCTTCATTCATGTTTTTTAATACTTCCCTCCTATCAAACTCGATAAACTTCTTTTCTGTAAATAACTCTTGCTTTTATTTCCAGATACGGCAGCTGAACAAATATATTTTTAAGTGTAGGCTTAATCCGCCCTTGCTCATAGGTGTTGCAGCCTGGATTTGTTGTCATGATCTTTATTTGAAATGTCATCTTCTAGTGTGTTGTAGAAGTGTTTTATGTTGAGTGTAGAACCCCTTTTTATAATGTTTGAAATAATGTCCGGATTTTGTTGACGCTTCATTTTGGCCCTGCTGTTTGTCATCTTTAGGTTGTTCTTGTGATTCTGTAATTTGAAGCCAGTACCTAAATATGCCCAAGCGAAAAAGAGAATGTGATCTATGTTGATGACCTGATGCACAACTGTTCTTAACAGTGCTGCCAGCGTGAGAAAACACTGAGTTTAGAACAACAGTTTTCCAGGTTTTCTGAATCATGAGTAGAAGTATCTACCATTTTATCAGACGAAAGTAGTTCTGAGATTGATCTTTGATTTATACTGTTTCAATCCAATAACCCCCATCTGTACTTTCTTTACCCATCATATTGCCTTGTGTCTGTGACCTGACATACCTACTGTAAACCACCAGCATGTGGTGAGAGGCATCTGCAGTTTGAATCAACAAGAAACGAGGCTTGTGCATATTAACTGCATATGTCAATGCAAATTAAATTGTTAAACACTGTACTCTTGCTGCAAGTAGGTGATGGTTGGGCTGACTCAACATGTATTGAAAGAAAGCGCATTTTGTCTATTTAGTCGAACTTAATTGATGAGTTTTTGCATGACTGCTGATGGTGGATATTCATACATTCATGGTTTGTTGAGATGAACATATCCATCCATTTTTTAAATTCTACCTGTAACATTTACCTGAATAAAGTGAATCCCATTTGTTTTTGAGTCCCACATTTCGAAGTTTTTTTTTTTTACTGGGAAACTAGGGCAAAATATTGACTCAGAATAATTTGACTCCTCCACACTGATGGAAAACATTACATGAGAATTCGACATTAACAATATTTACAGAATAAAGCGATCAGTGAAACCATAAGAGATGACTAAGTATTGTTTCAGTTATGTTGTCTGACATTTAAGCAAAACACTCACCAGCCACCTCATTAGCTACACCTGTTTAACTGCTCGTTAACACTAATAGCTAATCAGCCAGTCACATGGCAGCCAACTCAATGCATTCAGACATGTAGACATGGTGAAGACGACCTGCTGAATTTCAAACTGAGCATCAGAAAGGGGAAGAAAGTGATTTAAGTGACTTTGAACGTGGCGTGGTTGTTGGTGCCAGACGGGCTGCTCTGAGTATTTACTGGGATTTTCACACACAACCATCTCTAGGGTTTACAGAGGATGGTCCCAAAAAGAGAAAATATCCAGTGAGCCAAAATGCATTGTTGATGCCAGAGGTCAGAGGAGAATGGCCAGACTGGTTCAAGATGATAGAAAGGCAACAGGAAGTCAAATAAGCACTGGTTACAACCAAGGTCTGCAGAAGACCATCTCTGAAGCAACCTTGTCCAACCTTGAAGCAGATGGGCTACAGCAGCAGAAGACCACACCAGGTGCCACTCCTGTCAGCTAACAACAGGAAACTGAGGCTACAATTCACACAGGCTCACAAAAACTGGACAATAGAAGATTGGAGAAACGTTGCCTGGTCTGATGAGTCTGGATTTCTGCTGCCACATTCAGATGGTAGGGTCAGAATTTGGTGTAAACAACATGAAAGCATGGATCCATCCTGCCTTTTATTAGATTTGTTTGTCAAACAAGAGCTTTTACAGAAACTGTCCTCTCTGTTAGTTATAAGTCATCAGATCCGATTTGTAGGTCTAGACATCAACCTATCTGTATGTGATGCTGTGGTAATGATGTAGGCGTCAGTTGCAGTATAATACACTGGTAACACAGTTTTCCAGTGCGGAATATGAGAAATGGAGGTCCATCATTCTGCCCTCAAAAACAATTGCACTGTCAAATAGAACTTCTCTGCCGCTCTCCATTTTGTCCTCAGCATGGCTTTATGAATGTATAAAGAAAAGTGGGTATAGCATTGGAAGTGGTGCCCCGTTCATTCCTATGAACGTTGCCCAGTGAGACATGAAGTAAAAAGTTTGACTTCCTGGATCAAAAAATAACCTGGATCATCCGCATCGTGTGGCCCATAGAGCAAGAGCACCGGAGACTTCCACTGGCCGAGAAGCTAACTTCCGATTTAGCCCTCCAATAACTTAAATGAGGATCATGTGGCTCTTCTCGACTTTTGAAATGTGATGGAATTGAGTGGATCAAAGTCTGATAGTGAAACGGGTCATTTTGTGTGAGTTGTGATGCTCAAAAAAAAATATATACTGATTTATCAATGTCTCTTTCACAATGTACTGTAAGTCTATGGGAAAATGATGGACCGGAAGTTGGCTGCTGTGTAGAATTGGCTTCATGGATTCTGCTTAGCACTTTGGTCACCCTGGATTTGATGTTGTTGCATGTCGCGTTGTGAGTAGGGTTGGAGGTTAGCACCAGCCACCAGCTAAATGCTTGTAAAATATGCAAGTGGCTGCTAGATTCATTCATTCACCAACCAAAAAACTATGGTAAGCAACTGAGTGGCTGGTAGGTTTTGGAATCCAGCAGCCACGGTGGTAGGTTGACTACAAAATTAATTTCCAACCCTGGTTGTGAGTAACAGAAAAGATTCTTTGAAATCCGAATTGAGCATCCGACGTGTCCAGACTAACAGGCATCTGTAGATATCTGATTGGAATGTGGTTTGGATCTGATTTTTGCTGTCCAGACTTTCTAAAATCAACCTGGATGCAATCTGGAAATACCAAATATGGATTCATCCCGGCAGTGTGAACAAGGCTTTAGTTTCCTGAGTTGATTACTGGTGTTTAGGAGTTTGTCAGCTGACTGAATCTTTCTTGTGGTTAAACCCTCCAGGTTTAAACTTGATGATGACGGGATGACTAAGGCATAAGGCAATGGTTAGGAAGCATCCTGAGCCACATTGCTTTCTGATATTGCCCAAAGTTGCCGGATCATTGTCGGATAAGTTGTGAGAAAAATCTTGGACATGGCCATTTAACTTCAACACATCTGCAACAGAGAATACTGTTTTCATTATGTCCCACAGCATTATCAGCTGACATCTGGTTATTGAAGAAGACATAAAAAAACAGGATGCTGGATCTTTTTTTCTCATTATTAAAACCCCAAAACATCCTTTTCCTCCTGAAAGGATTAGTTCAGTATTTTCAAGCTTGTCGTAAAAACAAATACTTGCAAAACTAAATGCCAATTGGAAACATTAATGTTCCTTTTTAAAGCAAGTTCAGTGTAGGTGATGGGGGAAGTCATCCACCTTTAAAGGTCAGCTAAAGATATGAAGGCAGACAAATCATGTGGGTGTCTTCCAAAGTGTTAAACCAAAATCCCTTCTACAGACTGTTTGCTTGATGAGCTGCGACAGAGGTAACACAAAACTTTTATCATTCACAAAAAGACAAACTTTAGAAAGTACCTACTTGATTTGACTGGCTCAAACTGCTGAAACCTCATATTAGCTTCAGCTGAATATAGCTTTTGCACTGAAATAGTACCGTGGATTTTGCGTGTCCATTGTCACTAACATTGCCATTGCTTTAAGGAGAATCTTTTCGCAGCTGTAATGGACCTGAGGAACAATTAAAGCAACCAGCAGTGCTTTCAGGGCACATATGGGC